TTCATAATGCGTGATCAAAACCGAAAGTTTCTGTGATGACTGCCCTTGTACTGTTCACCATGTAAGAACTTATTCACCATGTAAGAATTCGTTCACCATGTAAGAACTTGTTTGTTATGCTTCAGAAGATTGGAGACTGAAGAGAACTAGGCTTGAGATGGATTAATGACTGTGCATTGAGCATTGACCCCCTATACAGAATTTTATTGTTGTTAACAACCACTTGATCAATAAATATGAGAGATGCCCTCTCAAAAAAAAAAAAAAGATTGAGAGCGGATGCATCTTGGGAAGTTCATAAGAGGTGTTCAATTTATGACTGTTTACAGATTGTTGTACATTCATGTTTTATGCCAAAGGGAACAAATTGCCAACAACAGCTAAAGAGATTGAAAGGTAAGAAGTACTCACTGAACTTAAGAGAAATTCAAAGGAAGGAATTTCCTTTCATTAGGGAAAGAAAGCTCTTGGTGACAGGAAAAGGATAAAACTTATAAAATTTTCATTTTATAGGTTTTTAAAAATTTGAGATATAATTTATATACAATAAGATGCAGGGATCTTAAGTGTTGTTTGCTGTGTTCTGACTCTTACACCCTATGCCTGCACTGCTGGACACTCTAGAATGTTCTCTCACCTGGAGAGCTCCCTTCTTCGCAGTCTGCCCTCTACTCAGAGGCCATCTTAATGATGCCTGTCCTTGAATTTTACATAAATAGAATGATGCTATATGTACTCTTTTGTGTTTGGCTTCTTTCCACCAAAATAATGTATATATTTTTGATTCACCCATGTTATATATATCAGTAGTTCTTTTTTATTGCTAATTAACTTTCCATTATATGAATATTCCATAATATACTATCTCTTGTTGATGGACATTTTCGAATACATTAGTTTTGAAACATATTGTTTAGTTTCACATTTATGGGAGGGAAATTTCATTAATGTGCTAGGTTATTTGAGGAATTTGGTAAAGTATTGACAATTATAAACTTTTATTCCCCAGAACTAAAGAAAACTGACAACAATTTTAAAGACAACAATTTGGAAATAAGGTGACACATTTAGAAACACAACAGACAGCTATATAAACATAGTAAGAACCCCCGAATGAGGTGGGCGGATGGTGTTTGGCTAAGAACATGGCCTCTAGTGTTAGTTCTCACTACAAACCGTAGTTCTGCTCCTGTCTGCCTGTATAGATTTGGTAAGTTGCTGAACTTCTCTGGGCCTTCTTTTCTTTTCTTCTCTGTGTAGTAGGAATATAGTGTCTACCTCATAAGAATGATGATGTTTGTAAAGTGCTTTATTTAGTGCCTTGTGCATAGTACATGCTTGGAGTAATACCGTACCCATTGGTTGGTCTCACCAGCTAACATTTCAGAAAGGGTCATTTTAGGGTTGTCTTTGCTGAATTAAACCTGAAATCTCTAAGTGATTGAAAAGTTTGGGAAGGACAAGGGACTGTCACCTCCTCCCACCCTCATCATCCTATAATTCCCTGTCAAGGTTGAAGGGCAGAGGGCCAGGCTGTGTTGTTTGGGGGTCAGCACCCCTGAGTCATGTGTGTGGGCAGCTGCTGCACTCCTGTCATTCATACTTATTTGGCGAATCACGGATTTGCCCTTTTGGACTCTTAACAAAACATCTAGTCCCACACGATAAAACATTAGGGTGGTGTTTCAGTGGTCTTTTTGGGGCTCATACTATTAAAGACAACAATTTGGAAATAAGGTGACACATTTAGAAACACAACAGACAGCTATACAAACATAGTAAGAACCCCCGAATGAGGTGGGCGGATGGTGTTTGGCTAAGAACATGGCCTCTAGTGTTAGTTCTCACTACAAACTGTAGTTCTGCTCCTGTCTGCCTGTATATACCTCAGAGATGATGTACTACAGAAAACAGTGTTTTCAAAAATCTGTTCAGTATTCTCAAGAAGAACATTAAAGTGACTGGAATGAGTAGAAAAGAAAACAAAACCTACAGAAAATGAAATCATTCATTATTTTATTTCCTGGTGTTAAAAAAAAAGCACTTAAAATAATGGGCTGTAGAGCAGGACAGATGGCCTAGTTAGCTGTTGCTGCATAACAAATTACCCTGAAATGTAGTGGTTTAAAACAACAAATATCTATTATCTCATGGTTTCTGTGGGTAGGAATCCAGGCACAACTTAGCTAGGTCTCCCTGCCCCACTGTGGGGTCTCTGACAATGCTGTGATCAAGGTGTTGGCTGGAGCTGCCATCTCATCTGAAGGCTTGCACAGGCCAAGGTCCTGTTCAGACTTAGTCATGTGATTGATGGAGGATTGGAGGCCACCCTCAGTTGCTGGCGTCCGTGTGAGCAAAAGAGGGCGAGATGAATGTCACCTCATCTCAGAAGTGACATCCATCACTTGCTATATTCTGTTGGTTAGAAGTAAGTCCCTAGGTGCAGCCCACAGGGCGGGGCCTCCACTAGGGCAGGAATCCCAGGAGGCAGGCTTCCCGGGGCCATTTCAGAGGCTGCCTCCTCCAGTCTGCCCTCTGGCCCCCAATGACTTGTGTCCCTCCCACGTGCAGGATGTCTCACCCGTCTTGAGGTCTGCAGATGTCTTAGCCCATTACAGTATCAGCTCCAGGTGCAGAATCTCATCACCTAAGTCAGGTCCAGGCTGGGATGAGGCTCTTGAGTACCTACTGCTGCAGATCACCTGTATAACAGATCTCCCCCAAACTTGTCAGCTTAAAACAACAAACTCTTATCTCACAGGAGGGCTCACTGGGGCCATCTTAGGAGCTGCCTACCACCTCTGCCTAGGTTCACATCCATCTTTGGCCACATACTAGCTGTGTGCCCTTGGGCTGGTCACTTTCTCTTTCTGTGCTTCAGCTTTTTTCATCTGTAAAATGGGGCTAATAATATTACTTAACCTAATAGGGATAATGTGACAATTAAAGTGATATAATTTGTAATTAACACAGTCCCTGGCAAGTAGTAAATGCTTGATAAAGGGCAGGCATTTATAATTAATGTTATTAGCATTGTTACTTTTATCATTTCTTTGAAGAAAAAGCTTGCAAAGTTTTCTCAGAATATAGAAAGAAGGATAAAGATGCAGAGAAATTGATAGGCCTGGGATACAAAAGGTAGGGATTCAACCTAAAACTAGTAGTGACTCTTCAAGGAGAACAGATCAATGGTTAAAGTTTTAAAAACAAAAACGACTGAACAAAAAGTATTTGGATCTGCTGATTAAAGCATTTCACATGAACCAGACACTATTAGAATATTGGAATAAGGTAGGGATGCCGGGAGGTGCAGCGAAGATAAGGCCCTGTGGGAATGACCAGTCTAGATAAGCCCCATAATCAGATCCGTTGTTAGTGACTGCAGTTCATTAGTGAAGGTCACGAGGGAGGCTGTGCGCACGTCGTCCTTACAGGAATGCGCACAGCTCCGTGGCTCACTGCCCACCCACCTGGACCAGCTTAGGCCTCAGCAGGATGCCCTTCTCTGCTGTACCGACCAACTCAAGAGGGAACAGGTCCCCTTCCTCCTCTGCCCTGGCTCTGTATCTGTGCCTGGTGTAAAACGAGGGACCAGTTATGCTGTGGACTTCAGATTCCAGGTCCGGGCTGCATGTACCTTCCCACTGTGCCCCACAGTGCGGACAGGCCGGCTTCAGTACACGAGGCTGAGTCGTACCCACGTGCAAGCGGAGCTCCAGTCATCGGTGTGTGCCACCCTCTCTGCCCGGCCGCCAGCTCTGACCCGCCTCTTTGCTCCTCATGGCAGGCCAAGTGCAGGAACATGGAGCACGCGCTGCGGGAGAAGGCCAAGGCCTTCTGGGCCATGCGGCGCTCCTATGAGGCCATCTCCAAGCACAATCAGGTGAGTGAGTGCTCGGGCTCGGCGGGGAGGCGAGGGACACCCGGGGCAGCCGGGGCACTGGTGAGGACAGGCTGGCCTTGGCTGTGGCTGTGGACATAGAGTTGGCCTTCCCCAGCCCTGAGGGTCTAGCACAGCCATGTTCTCCGACGGGCTGCACAGCATGGCCTCTTTAAACACCTGGGCATGGCCACCCAGCAGCTGCAGGAGCAGCTTAAAAGGCCACCAGTGCCACCTGTACTATGGCTTCAGACTAGCCTTAGCACATCCCCATCTGTCCAATGTCCAAGCCAACAGTGACCTGGGCTCTTCGGTTACTCCTTTCCCCCTCCCTCCCCACAACCCCTTCATCAGCAGTCCTGTCCCCAGTCTCCACAGTATATCCTGTGCATCTGACACACCTTTTCTGCCACCACCACCCTTGTCACCTGGCCTCTACCTGGCCCCCTGCTTCTGCTCTTGTTCTATAAGCCACTCTCCACTCATAATTATTTCTTTATTTCATTTTCTATTTCTGTTTATTCTGTTACGTTCTTCTGTTAGAATATAATGGAAGAAGGGCCCACTAGTATCTAAGAATTCTTGGCACATAGTAGGTGATGGATAAATGCTTGTTACTTGAAGGAATGTATGGGCTCCCCTCTTTTCCCACTCTTGCTGTCACGCCGGGCACCCTCTCCCTCTGAGTGCTGTGTGGATTGAATCCTGCTGTCTGACCGCTTTTCCTGGCTCTGTCCCTTACTGCCTGGGAAAGTGCGTCTGATAATTGCTGCTCAGGTGGACTCATCACAGGCTCAGCAAAGATACTTGTGGCTCGGGCTGCCTGGCACTCCCCTAAAGCTCTGGCCAAGGCCCTCCACTGCCCGTGTGTCCATGGGAAGGAGTGAGCCTGGGAAAGCCTCACTCACATCTGGCAGTAACCACAAAGCAGACCTACTTTCGAACCCAAGCCTTGGTCTCCAAGCAAACCCTCCAAGACAGTCCCCCTCTTCTGTGAAAAGAGGACAGTTCCCTCTCTAGGAACCTTTTAAAAGTTCAGCCGAGATACTACATGTGAAGCGCCCAGTAGAGAGGTCATTCACCGGTTCTCATGTCTTGGAGACCAACAGACTTCACTCTTTTGATGAATTGTTTTTGTTGTCACAGTGTCAGAGCCACAGACACATGTTCAGCTTCCACTCCAAAGAGGAGGTCACTGCCCTGCTGTGACTGGAGCACAGTGTTGGGTTTTCCCAGCAGTTGTCCTGGAACCATGGAGCTTCATCTCTGTGCTTGACTTGATTTCCTTTTGTAGCAAACACCATTTACCTGGCTGTCCTTGTGTGGGACACTTGGGGAGGGTCCGTATATCCAAGTGACAGACAGCACCTGACCTAACATGGTCAAGCATGAAGATTCCAGGATTCCGGCTTGATTAATGCCTTTCCCCTAAACGCTATCAATCCAGGTCAGTGGGTGACGTGAAAGTTTGGGCGTTCACCCCTTTATTTCTAAGCTGCCATTGCCAGCGAATAAAGTCAGTTTATGGAGTTCACTTTGCACTGGCTGGATTTTCTTGTGGCTCTGCTTTTTATCTTTCTGGGTGACACTTGTATTTCAGTCTCCCACTGTACATCAGTCTTCGGAGCCTGATATCCCAACTGTGCCATCTCTTCTCATTTGCATTTCTTTGATTATTAATGAGTTTGTGCATCCTCTCCCAGGTCTCCTAGTCATTTGCGTTTCTCCTGTGAATGCCGGTTCACATTCCTCTCCTTGGGATGTGTGTTGCTTTTCCTCGTAGATTGCTCAGCCTGTTGGGGGTTGTACATGTTTTTCCTAGTTGATTTCATTTTCAGTGCACATTTTCACTTTTTTTGATCCTTTTCACGTTTTTAGTAAATCATTTAGTTATCATATTGTCAAGCCATAAACATAGTGAACTTTGAATGCAAAGATGAGATTCCTAAGCTGCCCCACTAGAGACACATGTGGAGTTGTTTTCCAGTAGCCTTTATGGGATTGTGTTTGTGTATTTAACTTCACTGGTAGTCCTTTGACATATAGAGCTTCTTATTTTCGTATGTGTTCAGTTATCTCATTCTTTCTTGGAGGCTTCTCAGATTTATATATATGGTAAGAAAGGTCTTTTTCATTCCAAGGTGATGAGAGATGTTTCTATGCTTTTTCTGCATTTTGGCTTTAACTTTTAAATAGGTTTGTAGTTATGATTAGGAGTATGTCTATTATTAATGATTCTGTTTTAAAATAAATACTTCCTTCTCCTCTTTTGTAAGTCTCTGGACCAGACAAATTTCAAGTTCAAAGTTGGGAAGGCCAATAATTTTTAAAAATCATTGCTTTTTGCAGCCATTTGTTTCTGTGATTTAGGATTTCCTTCTCTCTTATGCAACCTAAATAAGATACAGAATATTGTACGTTGAGGAAGTTCTAGGGCTACAGTGGTCATCTGTGAAAGTCACAGTTGTGATTTAATTTTTTAAAATTTATTGAAACCACCTCATTTCGCAGTTAGACTTATTTTAAATTTAAACATAAACTTGTGCTAATGCTGTATCTACGTATTTTATCTCTGGGTTCCACATACAGTTTCTTTTGAAAATAGAGTTGCTTTGCTAAAACATGACAGTCACGAGCTGGGCGATCTGGGGTTCCACCCGCACTCGCCCTCTGGGGCTCCCCCTCTGCACCGCAGGTGGAGGCTGCCTGGCTGGAAGGGCGAATCCGCCAGGAGTTTGATAAGCTTCGTGAGTTCCTGAGGGTGGAGGAGCAGGCCGTCCTGGACGCCATGGCCGAGGAGGCGAGGCAGAAGCAGCTCCTGGCCGAGGAGAAGATGAGGCAGCTCGCGGGGGACACGGAGGCTCTGGCCCAGGAGATCGAGCGGCTGCAGATGGAGATGAAGGAGGATGATGTTTCCTTCCTCATGGTGAGTTTGCTCCCCATCTGGGCTCAGGTCCAGGGACCAGGTGTCCGGGAGCCAGCGGGGAGCCAGGGACCAGCAGCCTTGGCACCCTGCTCCCCAGTGATTCCGTCGCTCCCGGAGAGCCGGCCGGAGGGGCTCGCAGAGGAGGGGCATCGCTCTCTTCTCCTCTCCTTCCTTCCCCCGCCCCCCCTTCCTCTCTTAGACTCACGCCTGCTCTCTCCTCTCCTTTTTTTTCCTTCTCTCCACTCAGTACAATAGAGTACTATTTCAGTAAACTTTTTATTTTAGAATAACTCTAGATCTGTGGAAAAGTTGCCAAGACAACCGAGTACTCCTGGGTACCCCTTCACCTGCCCTCTCCTGTTGGTAACACCTTCCATTACCTGGGCACGTTTGGCCAAACTAGACTCCAGACTCCGAGCTCGCCAATTTCTCCATTAACGTCCTCTCCCTGCCCCCGAGACCCACCTTGCGTTCAGTCCCCATCTCCCAGCCTCCCCTGTTCCGGGACCGGCTCCTACTCTTTCTCTGTGTCTCAGCCCATCCACAGTCCTGGGCGTACAGCCAGGTGTCCTGAAGGGCGTTCCTTCCGGCGTGGTTTGTCTAATGTTTTTCTCATGATTAGACTGGGGTTGTGGGATTTTCTAAAGAATGTAAATTAGAGTATTTCTAAAGTATACCATTATTTAAACTTTTAATCTAAATATGTTTTGGTATCTTGTATTTCCTTAAGAAAAGGATGACTCCATTCTCTAGAAGAATATATTTAGTTCATTTCTTTTCTTCCTTCTATTGATTTCCTTCTCCCACCTCCACATACACACACACACCCATTGTCACTGCGTCTTTATGGAGAAGATTCCATAACTGGAAAGCTAGTTTGGAAGCTGGTCAGGATAGCCGGGTGTCCCCTTTATTTGCAGAACAGCTGAGCTCTCCGGAAGGGGCTGTCTGTAGAGTGGACGGGAAGGGACAGGGACTTTGGTGGGTTCTCTGCCTCACACAAAGCTTTGGGCCGTATGTCCCCCATCTTCATGATGCCCCTCATCACAGGCATCAGTGGCTCTACAGGCTGGATTCCTTGCTGTTTCTCCATTGGAAGTAGGGGGTGTCATCTTGCCCAGACCCTGTACCCAGCTACCTTCAGGGATGCTTTTCAATCCTCTCTTATATAGAAACTTTACTGGATGTAATTCACATATTACATCACTCACCTGGAAAATGTGTAATTTAGTGGTTTTTAGTGTATTCCTAGAGTTAGACAGCCATCATCCCCTCCCACGACTGCTCCCCACCAGCCCTGAGCGAACACCAGTCTCCTTTCTGTCTCCATGGAGTTGCCTGTTCTGGATATTTAAGTGTAACCGTTCCAACAACTGCCATGTGACCGCACCATCTCACATTCCCATGAGCAGTGTGTAAGAACCGTAATTTTTCCACATGTTTGCCCACACTTAAAAATTTGTTTTTTCTTAAGCCATTGTAATGGGTCTGAAGTAGCATCTCATTAGGTTTTGATTTGCATTTATTTCTCTGATGGCTAATGATGTTGAGCATCTTCTCATGTTCTTGGCCGTTTCTGTATCTTTGGGGAAATGTGTATTCAAGTCCTTTGTCCATTTTTTAAATTGGGTTGCTGGTGTTTTTGTTGTTTACATGTTAAGAGTTTTTATGTATTATGGATACTAGACCTTTATCAGATACATGATGTATAAATATTTTCTCCCATCTGCGGGTTATCTTTTCACTTTCTGGATGACATCCTTGGAAGCACACAAGTTTTTCATTTCGAGGAAGTCCAGTGTGGCTGTCCCCTTTTGCTGCTTGTGCTCTTTTTGTATCATATCTAAGAAACCACTGCTTAAGCCAAGGCCATAGTTTTATAGTTGTGGTGCTACATGTAAGTCTGACCCATCTTGAGTTAATTTTTGTATTTGGTGCAAGGTGCGAGTCCAGTTTCATTCTTTGGCTTGTGGATATGCGGTTGTCCTCCTACCGTTTCTTGGAGACCATTCTTTCTGCCTTGCATGGTCTTGGCACCCTTACAGATACCAATTAACAGTAAATGTGAGGGTTTGTTTCTAGACGTTCAGTGTCCATTGATCTATATCCGTAGGTTAGTACCACCCTATCTTGATTACTCTTACTTTTAACAAGTTTTGAAATCAGGAAATGTGAGCCACCAACTTTGTTCTTTTCCAGGATTGTTTTGGCTATTCTGGGTACCTCGAATTTCCATATGGATTTTAGGATGAGCTGATCAGTGTCTGCAAAGAAGCCAGCAAGAATTTTGATAGAAATCATATTGACTCTATAGATCAGTTAGGGGAATATTGCCATCTTAACAATATCAGGTCTTTTGATCCATGAACATGGGGGGTATGACTCCTCCTTAGGTCAGAAACTTACATGCTTTTTTCTCTTTTTATGTCTCTGGTTTTTTCTCTTTCAGAAACACAAGAGCCGAAAACGCCGGTAAGTTGCCAAGGCTTGTGGAGGGGAGGGGAGGGGAAGCGCAGGCAGAAATACCAGGGGTGCAAGCTTCGGCTCCAGGCCAGGCAGGTAATGAAGCCAGCTGGGTGTGAAAAATGGGAGTGGGGGGTGCTGGCCAGGCGCAGTGAGCCCTCCTTTAAGACATTCGACTTCTGATTTGCCCTGGCATGGTGCTGTTTCCCAGAGTGGGAGCATTGCCACACACTCTGAGGGGAGGGAGTGTGCCAGCCTGCACCTGGCTCATGTTTCACAGTGGGTCATCCCAACTCTTAGGCTTGTTCCTTGGTCCTCGCCTCCCCTCTGAGAGCCTCAGGACACATGGATTTGTGTTGACATTTGCTGGGTCACAGTGATGCATAAGGAAGAGCTGTGCCCCGGTCAGAGCTGTACAGAAGTGGAAGGTAGTGCTCTGAGCAGTAGTGAGTTCCCTGTTGCTGGGGGTGTTCAAGCAAGATGCCTTCACACTATTGGTCTAGAGGACCTTTAAGGTCTCTTCTCACTCAGACATCCCATGGGTGGATGTGTAAGTGTTTACTGCCACAGGGTGGGTACTGTGTCTGAGAACCTCCTACTTATATTTATTCCGGCCTGTGCACTGCATCCTGTAGGCAGGCGCAGCCTCCTTGGCTCTGGGCTCTTCTCCCCCACAGAGCACAGCATAGGTTTATCTCGGGTAACGTGACTAGGGGATTAAGCCTGGGGGCAGAGGACACAGTCCTGTTGCCTGTTGGCAGCTGACGCAGTGAGGCCCAGGGTGCATGGCCCTGGGTCGCCCACCAGCCCAACTCTCCTTTCCCAGCCTCTTCTGCACCATGGAGCCAGAGCCCGTGCAGCCTGGCATGCTCATTGATGTCTGCAAGTACCTGGACTCCCTGCAGTACCGGGTCTGGAGGAAGATGGTCATGTCTGTTGAATCTGGTGAGTGGGGCTGTGGGGTGGTGGAGGTGGGGGTTGTGACAGGTGGAGGGAGCACTTCAGACGAGGCAGTGGCCCAGCTGAGCCTGTGTCTTCCAGCTTCCCGCCCCTTCTGACCTCCTCATCTCTTGACTGAGCTCTTCTCCAGCGTCTTTCAAATAGGTCTCCAGGCCCTCCTCCACAGCCTGCCCCCTGCTCAAGCCCCTCCTGGCAGGACTTCCTCCTTTTCGGGTCTTGACCCTCGGCCACCTCTTTAGAAAGAGGAACTGGCTTCCCTCTCTATTCTGCAGGTGTAATGAAAGACTTCCAGTCCAGCATTGCCTCTCCCAAGGTGATTCCAGCCCACGTGAGCCACTCCGTTGTGTGCTGTGGGCAGAGTGTGTGTGTCTCCTTGAAATCCATATGTTGCAACCCTGATCCCCCATGTGGTGGTATTTGGGGTCGGGGCCTTAGGAGGTGAGGCCATGAGGGAGGAGCCCCCATGATGGGATTATCCCCTCACAGGAAGAGATGTCAGAGAGCTGGCTTCCTCTCCCCTTCCTTCTCTCCCCCGCAGCGAGGACACAGAAGGAACCATCAGTAAACCAGGAAGAGGCCCTCACAGAACCCCGCTGTGCTGGCACCCTGATCTTGGCCTTCCAGACTCCTGAACTATGAGAAAGAAATTTCTATTGTTTAAGCCCCTTGGTCTGTGGTATTTTTGTTGTAGGAGTCCAGATTGACTGAGATGCCATAATTTTAGAGGGAGAAACATCAGTGACCCAGAGGAATGTTACATGCTTTCTCCTAAGACGTCAAATGAGTTGTGTGAGCTGGTGTCCCTGCCTGTATTGGCTTCCTGATTTTATCAACAAAGGACTATAATCTGGATGCTTTAATATGACACATAATTATTTGCTCACATTCCAAAGGCTAGAAGTCCAAAATGAAAGTGTCAGCAGGGCCATGCCCCCTCTGAAACCTCTAGGGCAGCATCCTATAAGGGCACAGCTCAACTCATAACCCTGCGCTTGGCTGAGGGCAGTTTCCTCCCAGCACTGGGGCCGGAGACACAGTTGGTCAGTCTGTGGGTACTGGAGGCATCAGCTGGCATGGCAGGAGGGTGGGGCGGGAGGCATGCTGATGTCCCCCCTTCTCCCCTTGCTCTCAGTGCCCTTCAGCTTCGATCCCAACACCGCGGCTGGCTGGCTGTCCGTGTCTGACGACCTCACCAGCGTCACCAACCACGGCTACCGGGTCCAGGTGGAGAACCCGGAGCGCTTCTCCTCGGCACCCTGCCTGCTGGGCTCCTGTGCCTTCTCCCAGGGCTCCCACACCTGGGAGGTGGACCTGGGGACGCTGCCCAGCTGGCGGGTGGGCGTGGTGCGCATGCGCCAGGACGCGGGCGCCGAGGGCCACTCGCACAGCTGCTACCACGACACGCGCTCGGGCTTCTGGTACGTGTGCCGCACGCAGGGCGTGGAGGGGGACCACTGCGTGACCTCGGACCCGGCCACGTCCCCCCTGGTCCCCGCCATCCCTCGCCGCCTGCGCGTGGAGCTGGAGTGCGAGGAGGGCGAGCTGTCCTTCTACGACGCCGAGCGCCACTGCCATCTCTACACCTTCCACGCCCGCTTTGGGGAGGTGCGGCCCTACTTCTACTTGGGGGGCACGCGGGCCGACGGGCCGCCCGAGCCCATGCGCATCTGCCCACTGCGCATCACCGTCAAGGAGGAGCTGGACGGCTAAGGCCGCCGGACCTGACCGGGGCCGTGCTCCATGGCCCCGTTTCCTTCCCGACCTCTTCCTCGAGCCACACGCACCTCGGCCTCTCCGCACCCGCCCTCTTGCCAGGAGCTTCCCACGGACCCGCCCTGCCCTTCCCTGTGGCCCCAGGCCCCCACCACCTCATCCTTCTGCGCTCGGCCAAAGGTCCTCCAGGAGATCCTCCCTGGCCAGGCCTCCCCTGAGTGGTGGCGCCTTCAGGATGTGAATTTTCTAAATCCTAATGCCATGATTTCTGGGGATAACGGTCGCTGCTAGAATGGGCTTGTTTTTTATTGTAGTTTTTGTTCTTATGCCATGTTGGTGACACCAACAGATCAGGAGATAATTGCCACTGGAAAGAGTGTATAGTTCCCAGAGGAGGGGCCATGCCATGGGGAGGGGTGGGGGGGGCGCGCGTGGGAGCCCTCGGGGCTAGGGGGACGGGCAGAGGGGGTGAGGAGAGGGCAGGGTGGGAGGCCTTACTGTGTTTCGTTTCCGCAGGCGGGAATGGGCAGGTTTAGGGTCAGCGAGCTGAGGGATTTTGGAGGGCGCTAGGGCACAGGGGCTACCCGGCCTGGCCTACTGGGCCTGGGGAATGCTGGCCTGGAGGGTAGGAGCCCAGGGAGAGCCGCGTCAGCGTCTCGGTGTAGCTCCCTCCCGACTGGGTGCTGTGGATGAAAGGTGTGCTTACAGGGGAGCGGTCTGCTCACAGGAGTAAGTTAGCCCAGAAGGGGCAGGTTGCCCAGAGGCAGGAGGCCCCAGATGGTGGAGCACTGAGAGTACAGAAAATAGGGAAATACAGTTCCTGCAGGGCTTTCTGGTTTTGGGCCGGACCCATTTCTCAGCCTGTCTGTCTATCACTTTGTACCAGTGCTTCAAACTGTCACAGAGCCCCCGGGCCCCCAGGGCAGAGCGAGGCTGCCCTTCAGATCACCTCGGATTTATCGAAATACACTTCTTGGACGATTGATTTTACTTAAAAAGCACAATTTTTAAAGCCATGGTTTAGACCCGTTGCCTTTCTGGGCCTCATTTCCTCATATGTAAAGGAGATGGAAAATAATGACATTCTGTGGCTGTTGTGGCAGAAATTCCTATGACTCATTCTTACGAGGGTATGAAGAAGGAAGGAGGGGCCTTCTTCAGTCAGGAGGGAAGAAAGGGGTGCAGAGTGGGGCTGAGAACAGAGGGGGATACCAGTGCACCCCACCTCCACTGTGCACTTGGTGCCCACCTCAGTCTGCTCCTCGCTCTGGCGCCCTGTGCATTTTCAACCTGCTTGCTCCCTCTACCCCCAGACCTGGACCTCCACCTTCTCTTCCACACACATGCCTATGAATGGTTTTAATTGTCAACTCACTGTGTCCTGGGAAACAGCATGAAAAAGGGAAACATTTTCTTAAAGGAGTGGTGTTCTGACTGGGGGCATGTGCCTGATTGAGGACTTACGTCCTACTGTCTCTGCCCCCGCGTTCACAGAAACAGACATTTTAGAAATGATGATGCAGAACTACAAATTGGTTATAAATGTGATGTGTACCTTGGCAGGGACTGTGGAGAGGGACGCGGCAGGAAATGCCCCTGAGTGAAGGGTCCAAGCTCAGTAGTGGTGAGGATGTGGGAGCTGTGCCCAGGCAGATCCCATCTAAAGGCACTTGGACTCAAAAAAGCTCAAGGCACTTTGGAGCCCAGCACATCTGAGGCCAGTGTGCCCTCCATGATAAAGAACTTATATGTAGCCCATCAATATAATTTCTATATAATAGTTCTGGACCGGAAGATATTTTTATTTTGTTAGTTACAACAAACTTAAAATTGTTTTTTATTATTTCCACCTTAAATATTAGAGAAGCTTTTTTTTTTTTTTAAATAGGATAATTTTGGTGGGCCTCTTTTAAAAAAATAAATAAAAATGATATTTGTGCTAAAACCTACTTTTTCTGCATTTTCCTTTCAGTGTTCTGGTAAGCAGAGTTCATGTTGTAGCATATATTGGACTTTATTCCTTTTTGTTACCAGATAATGGGTAGATGGCATTTTATATCTCCTCTCTTCAGTTGGCTATTTCCATTGTTTGCACTTTTTGGCCATTATGAAGAATGCTTCTGTACACATGTATGTACAAAAAAACATGTTTTCCATCCCCTTGGTTAAATATCTAGGAGTGGACTTACTGGATCCTTGCATGCTGTTTAACCTTTGGAGGAACTGCTAGGCTGTTTTCCAATGTGGCTGCACCATTTTATATTCCTGTCCGCAGCACTTGAAGGATCCAATTGCTCCCTATACTCGTCAACACTTGTTATTGTCTCTCTTTTAACTTAGCCATCCTCATCAGGGTGGAGTGGCATCTCACTGGTTTTGATTCACAGTCCCCTGATGATATTGAGGATCTTTTCATGTGTGTTCACCATCTGTATATCGTCTTAGGAGAACTGTCTTTAAGCCTTTGCCCATTGGGGGTTATTTGTCTTTTTTATTAATGAATTGTAAGTTCTTTATACATTCTAGATACAAGTCCTTTATCAGATAAGTGATTCACAGAATTTTTCTCCCCATCTGTGGGTTGTCTTTTCAATTTAGATGTCCTTTGAAACAGATGTTTATAATTTTGATGTCTAGTTTGTATGTTTTTTCTTTTGTTGCTTGTGTGTCCTGCAACTCTTACTTTTGACACTGGCTTTAAGACCGTGTACCAGCTTTCAGGTTTTGGCTCAGGCTCAGGTGGACGTCCTCTTGACAGGAAGCCCACTCCAAGCCCTTTCTTCCCTTGAGTGCTCCCCTGCCCTTGCCTTTTGCTGTGGCCCACCCGTCTTTGCTCTGCTTGTTAGCTGCAGCCTGGACAGCCTGTTTCTTTAGCTTCTCCTGCCCCCAGCCCTCCCCAGGTGCTGCTGCCAGGCACCTCACCCAGGGCCCCCACTCTGCCCACCCAAGCACATCCCTCCAGGGTAGCATGGGGAGTCCTGGGGATTCAGCTGTGCCTCATACCGGACCTCCTGATCCCTCACCTCCAGCCCACGTTTCTTGTCACCTTTCAGCCCCAGCTGCCTGGCTCCACACTGCTGGCTGTTTCAGTTACAGTGTCCTGACGTCTCGTTCTTGATTCTGGTTATACTGGCCCTACCACTTACGTGCTCTGTGTCCTTAGGCACACTGTACCTCCTGAGCTTGTGTCCTCATCTGTGCAAGTGGGGTAATGCCCACCTTACACAGGTCTGCTGCAGCGAGCCTGCAAGGTGCCTGCCCCACAGTGAGCACTTGGAGTGGCAGCCACCGGAAGGGTGCCCGCAGGCCCCAGGGGGTGATCCCACATTCCCTCTTTGACTACCCTGGTGCCCTATCACTTCCACGTCTGCCACCAGTTATTTTTTGGTCAGAATTAAGTACAGTATGGCCATCTCCTTCCTTGCTTCCTCCTTGTGGAGGTAACATTCATCTCAACAGTTTGATCGTCTGTTTGTTGAAGTCTCCCACGATCTCCATGGTTAGTGAGGCGGGTGTGCCAGGACCCTCGGCACAGAATGAATGTGCCATCCCGGGATTTCCCCAGTTCCTCAGAGTGATGTTCACGAACCCTCCATGCCTCTCCTTCCCCATTATGCCATTCTGCAGACTGGGCCCAGCTTCTCCGGGCCCCCGGGCACCTGCCCATCTCTGGGAGGTGCCTCCTGTTGCTTCTCCTGCCTGTAGGGCCTGTTGTCCTCCCGTATTTGCCTTCGCTTGCCCTTCTCGACTCAGCAGTGCCTTGCAAGACCTGCCAGAATCCCTTCCCTTGGCCTATGTCTGGAAGGAAGGCCCTTGTGTGCAAGAGCAGCCTTTGCCATCTCCTCTGCACAGAGGCTTTTGAGTGCAGGAACCACATCCCCTTCTCCTTTCTCCTCATAGATCCAGGTGTGTTGCTGGGGCATAATGCAAGGTTATTGAGTGTGTGCACTGCAAGTGTCAGGGGGCTGTCCCTGCAAGTCCTACAGAACTGGCAGCGTCTCTGCCAAGGACCTGAAATCCAGGGTCCTATATGGGAATAACACCCAAATGATTTAGGAGCTGCCTGAACCTGTTGAGCCTCTGCTCTTTCATCTACAATGAAGAGTAGAATGTCTGTCTCAGACCAGTGTGTGGATTCAATGAGGCCACTTTTGGGTACAGATGCCATGTGTTATGTCCTAAATGTAATACAGGCTTAATATATGTTGGCCAGTTCTTTAGGAAGTGGGAGATTCTGAATGTTGACATTATGATTTCCATTAATGAAGAATCCCAGAGGAAGTTGAGAAATACAAGTTATCTGTATTGGGGGTGCTCAGATTGCTTGAGATTTTTTTTTTAACAAGGATATATACATAAAACTTAGGTTTATGAAAAATTTCAATAACATGGGGAAATGGTTATAACAACTGAGAATAACAGGATTATTGTGTGTTACACACACAAACATGCAACACACGCAAAAAGAGTAGCAGGATCCTGTCTCTGATTTGTATTGTTTGACTAGATAATCCTTTTACATAGCTGTAATTGCCACAGGTACAAAGGGTTCTAGAATAGTCTCTCCCACTCTGCCCACACACTCAGCTTCTCTCCTTGTGGTCAGTCTATATTATCATTTTTCAAAATCCTCCCAGAGACATTTTGTGCATAGCACATACTCAGTATATTCTGGTTTCTCCAGTACACTAATTTAAGAGCATGTGCTTCAGATCTGTATCCCTAAGCAACCCAACCAAGAAGAGATAATGCATAAAAAAGGATGTTATTAAAATAATTTCCTGTCTGCAAGGGGGAGGCTTATCATGGATGTTTTCATGCAGCCAGTTCAACTGGTAGATTTAGCTTTTTGTTCACCATTAAATATTTTCACTCTGGGGTTTAGAACAGGGGAAAAACAAAATGTAATTTAGTTGCTTCTGACATTAGAAGATAAGCCTCAGCACAAAGTTTTAAAATCTCAGTCTTTACAAAGCTACCCAAATAGCCCAGTGGTTAAAACGTTGGGATATGGGTTTGGACAACTGGGTTCAAACTCTGACTCAACGTGCGTGAGCTTGGGGGAGCTACTTATCCTTCCAATGCCAGGGTTTTATACCATGAAAAATGGAGATTAGATACCTTCGGATGGATGCAGATCATAACCTGCTGCATCAGGTTAATGGATAAGTGTGTTAAATGAGTAAGTGTATAAATCACTTAGCAACTGGGTCTGGCACATACTTATCAGTTAAGAGCCTATTACTTTTTTACCTGGCTCTGCTGCTAAACAGGTGTGAGACCAGATAAAGCCATTCAACTTGTCTTCTGTAAACAAACTAGGTCGTTTGTCTCATTTTTCAAGGTCTTTTCTAATTCTAATGTCCTGTGACTGACAATTTGTGTTAACTAGCAGTGTCTTGCACGTG